ACATCAAACCAACATACAGTCAACCACACAATGGAGTGAGATGCTTTGAATGTTTCCTGCCATGAAGCCATAGAGTCCTCAAGCTTTTATTTCAGTTCTACCTCAAAACTAAATGTGGAAAACCAGGGCGGCGCGACCAGGGTAACTATGGTTTTTGGATGACTTGCATTACCTATACCTGTGGATCATGCCAATAACAAAGTTATTGAATAACCTGAAACTTGTTATAGAATTGCCAAATATAACGTCGCCAAGGCAGATAACACAAAGATGTATGAACAATATCAATGAATAAAATCCACAGCAGGTAAAGCTACAAAAAAAGGATTTCTCTGCAGTAAAATCATGCATTACTGTCACGAAAAAAGCAGAAAGGCCTCCAAACCTCAGCGATGGTAAACGTTTGTTGGTATCAGTCCACGAGCATTTCAACCAGACGGAGAGCGCACCTGTTAGAACACACAACATGCTGGATGTGTTTTAGTGATGCCCGAGGCTTGTTCATTAAATTAGTGATTACTTCATTATAGATGCTACCTTTTTTTTAAATAAGGATGATTTTAAATAATGCTTATTCCCATAACCAAAGCCCACGATGGTGCGACTGTTAGACAGCATTAGTGGGCATAAAGGTCTGTCTCATTTCAGTAGCAACACTTCCGGCACGTAACCCTTTTAGTTGTAACCCATTCCTTTAAAAGAGAGACACGAAAACGACTGCATTCAGACGGACGGCTTCAGCCTTGTCCCACTCTTTAGGATATAAACAAGCAACACGCCCGAAGGTCTCATAAGAGACGTTTCTTGCTAAAGCTACAATGCATCCGTGCTCGCTATGTTGCTTTCTGGCAAATAAAAAAAGTTGATTGATAAAACAAATAAGTTAAGATAACGTTAAGGGACACTGACCCTCATGGAACCTTATAATGACAGGTCTGTCCTTACTTCATGACACTATATATATATATATATATATATATATATATATATATATATATATATATATATATATATATATATAATACTTTGGCCACTTCACTGAATTTGTAGGATACTTGCAGTGACAATCAGCTCATTCCATGAACTATTGCCCTTGAACAACATTCTACACTGATGAATTCACATTGGCAGAAACAAGTTGTGTTTATGGAGAACATTGTCATGGTTGCGGATGGCAGTTTTCTCTACTCTTTCACAGGGGATCAGAGGTAATTTTACAGCAGCTGGTATTGTCCTCAGCCAAGATACTGAGTGTGTCTTGGCTGAGGACGATCCATCCAGGTTTGTGGTGGCCCACACAAGCCGTGGAGCTGAGCCTTTCTAGCGTATCTGCCTTTCTCCTGCATGATACATGTCTTTGAATCTTAGTCATATACAACTGAATTGTGTAGCACAGGTTATAATGTGAAGCATGTAGTTTATATTCGATTATATTGTTTGGACTTTCAAAGAGCCAGTTGGTCATGTGTTATTATTGTGCGCAGAGACCTTCTTTCTGAGAGGGATTCTTAAGAATGTATTCTAGAGATTTAGAGATTCTAGTGCTGACGATGGCATCAGAGCATTTGTATTGAGTTTTACCTGATTTCATTCTCACTACTTTATTTAATGTAAGTGGATCATGAATTGACGGCTACTGTGTTGAATTCAAAGTTCAAACAGATCATATGATTACTTGCTTTTTTAATTCACATGAAATACTCTCCATTACTTTTAATCTCTTTTTCATCTTAATCCCAAACTGATGTATTTTATTGTACCATTAATTATGAGATCACTTTGCAGTATAACGTGATGAATCCCTTTCCACACAACTTCCGGCTTTCACCTCCAGCTCTTCTTGTTTACATTGTTGGTTTGTACATTGTTGCTGAATCATAGACTGTCTGACCACATCTATATCTGGCAGTGATGAGTGCACTGCTTCTTAAGCCTGTACCCCTTGTGTGAGGACGTGTGAGGACTCGCTTGAGAGGGATTTACGCATGGAAAAAAAATGCTCTGCCTGTGTACTGGAATCCGATTTCTCTTTCGCGTGAACAAACACAGACAACCATGCATCTTTGCTGGCCGGCTTTCAATATTCTGCCTCTATATTTTGACGGTAGAACGCATTGCCGCCCGCTTGTTGTCCATCTGCAAAAACGCCAGACGATCCATTTTGACAAGCGTGCTTCTTACCGTACCGCATGCCAAATGTTTGAATTGCATGAATTATCTGATTGGATTCTTGGATCAAAGAAAAATGTATTTCAACATGGATCTGATATTAGATTTTCTCTTTATTAAAATGGTCAAACCATGTTTTCATGATTCCTCATGTATCACAAATAAATGTCTTTACTTTACTAAAACTTGCACACACACGTGTGCACAATGTGTTGATTTCAGACGCAAAGATAGTCACCATGAGAAAAATCGATTTCTATTTCCACACCTTGGTTACATCGTCCTCTTAGAATTTAAGTGACAACAACTTTAACCTTGTAAATATACGTTAATGCTACCAAGATATGAAGATATATATAAACGGTATAAAATAAAGTACCATAATAAAACAGAGTCGTTTAAAAACAAAAAAAGTATTATTTTGCATGAACCCTGATAGATAAAAGATATTGGGAGAGACATCTCTGGCTGAATTGGAGGCTCTGCCACAGGATATTGCGACTGCACTTTTTCAGAGAAGCAATAACAGCTCTCATGTCGTGTGGGTCTGCATTTCTTTTAAGGTGTAGCGTTGAGATAACCAACCCTTCCTTCCTGCCGCAGTGCCCTGAGTGAGAAAGTAAAGTACAGAACAATTTGCTTTGGGAAAAATCGGAACAAAGAGACTGACAATTGACTTTAAAAATGTGAAAACTAACTATGTGAATAGGTAGATATAACTCTGTTATTTGCCATATGAGCTAGCATTTATTTTCACGTCTAGCCAATATGGCAAAATGACCATGACTGAAAGCATAGAAATTAGAAATTATTCAAATGTGAGAGGATTCATGGTCTTTATGCAAAGGGAGGGATCATTGGTAAGTGAGCTCATTGCTTTTCATTGAAAAGAAACTCGAGAACGAAAATTGCACTTCACACATTTTTGGGCAGCTCTTTTGAAACAAAACCTTAAATAGTTTCTATTTAAGAGACGTGGACTCTGGCTTCTCCATTTTGTGAAGTATGCAAATATTTTATTGACTTTTTATTTAAAAGTGCAGGTGTTTTGTGAGATAAAAGGAGATTACGTAACATGAACTGCCATCACTAACCTAAATTATTACAATTATTATTATTGTTGTTTTTTGCTTTTGCACTGATTGGGTTGCCCCTTGTGGGAGGGAGCTGCCCCAGTGGTGGCCAAATCTCGCCACGGCCCTTACAACAGGGACACGGCGGGCCGTTGCCCTGTCAGTTCTTATAAATCATAATTATCTTGATGGCAGAGGAATTTTTTGTTAGTGATAAATGATGGGTGTGGACATCTGTGTATATGTGTATTCCTCAGACATACTTTACTTTCCAAGGTACTCCTTTAGCACCATTAATGAATGATCACAATTTCAATCTTGATAGACTGGTCTTTAGGGGGGGGGGGGATGCGTTGACGAAGTCTACCCATCTAATGGATGCCACATGATATTAATGTACACAGGCGCGCCGCCTCTAACCTGGCAGCCTCTGAAAAATCAATCACCAACCCCGGCATTACTTTCCTCTGACAAATATGCTCTCGCCGGCCAGGTAGCCGAGCTAATGGCCTCCAAAGTACATTTGTCAAAGACACGGCTCCAATTAATTATTCAGTCACCTGTGCTGCTTTGCTGTGGTGCTACCTTACAATATGTACAGTGCTGCAAGGGGCGGCTCTCCCGTCGGCTCACTTTCTCTTTCCTTTTCGTGAGCCATAATTCCATCTGCTCCACTTCTACTGGGAGAGGAAGGGGGGGTACAAGCTGCTTTCATCGCCTATCAAGAAACGCTGCATGAGAGTAAACATGGCTGAAGGCTGATTTACGATATGCATTGTTTTTGAGTCATTAATGAGACAGGTTTCATCATCATGCTGTTAAGGCCTGGGAATGTTTGTGTGTGTGTGTGTGTGTGTTTTTTCCTCATCGGTGTGGATTTGAAAGCTTGCTAAATATAGGTGGTAACGTGTGTGCATAATGAGGCATCGCAAATGTAACAAACGGGGCAAAAAAAGTGCTTTAAAAAAGGTTTTGAAAAGCGAGAAACATTTCAAGCGGGGTTAAACAAAGAGCACAATGGTGCCAAATCCAGCTGTTACCAGACAACCGCTGGCCACCATGCTCTTTGCGAGTTAAACCCCTTTTTTTCCACCGAAGAGGTGGTGGAGCAGGGCGGAGGGCTTTAGGAATGGGAAGGAAAGGAGGGGGAAGGGCTGCATTCAGAGCATGTGAGAAAAGTAGGAGGAATCACCGTTCGTATTCAGACAGAACATCCACTTCAGGGCAGTGACATCGTAGCAAATGTAGTAACATCCCTGATCAGGAGTCAGTTGTCGTTAAAAGCAATTTTCATCATATTAATAACTGTATTTATAACTGAACCTGGCTTTGCGCATGCAGGCATTCTCATGATTCCCGTATAGGGCCTTCCCCAAACCACAAAATTGAAGACACACTATTGTACAGGCAAGTCAGTGTAGCATCGACATGTCTCTTCCTGTACAACAAGCCCCACTAGTTTGTACAGCATCCACACCTTTGCAGAGAGTCTCAGGCTGTCGTGGCATTACATAACAAGCTGGACCAAATATCCACAAAATAAAGTTCAGTCACAAAGGTTTTGTGAGCTATCCAATGAGATTAAGGTCCTAGACATATTTGACATATTTGTATTTTTTTTCCAATGTTATCATGCGTGCCACGCCGTGCGTTTGTGTGCGTGTGCCTATGTTGTGCAACCGTTCTCCCCAACACCCCTTAAATGCAGCACGAGGGTCACGTGAGATGCTCCCATAATAGCGGTGACGTTGTAGAGCTCCGTCAGTAGAGCGGCGTCTAACGGGCAGCCTCCCCCGGCCAACAGCTGCGGCGCGCGGCTGGGAAAGCTGACAAGAGGTCGGTCAAAGAGTGAGTGGAGGAAAAATACAGGGAGGCGAAAGGGAAAAAAAGCGCTTGACTGACAAAACGAAGCGGGGAGGAGAAAGTAAAGTACTGCTTGTTTTTTCGGTGGGGTTTGTACACTGTGGGATAAATCCTCCCGCCGAGCAACGCAAAGGACCAGTCGCGTTCCTGCTGCTGCTGCGGCGGCGCTCTCCCCTCCTCGGAGCGGCTCGAGCTCGGGATAAGACGTGCGTGGATGCCGCGGGGCTTCCTCAAACCGAGGCAGTTACAACACAAGGAGAAGGGACCTGGATAAACAACAGGGAAACAGCGAGTCGGTGGGAACAAGACAGATGTTTATTAAGTGAGGTAGACCGCGGTGGGCTGTGGCGAACAACGGACCCGCGGAGCCGGAGAGCGGGAGAGGCGGGCGAGGAGGAGTCGCAGCAGGAGGAGAGAACCAAAAAAATCCCCCAGCTTTCGCTGAGCCGGTTGGGACGACGCGTGCCAGGCTGCCGGTGTGATTGAGAGGAGCGGGGAGAGGTACTACAAGCGCGGGTTGTCTGCGGACCGAGGAGGCGGCGATGGCGGGCAGAGGGACCGGGGCACGCGCTCTCTGACAGCCGCCCGCAGCCCCGTCAGCAGCCCGCAAGCACCATGAGCAGGAGGAGGTACGCAGAACCGCACGGCTCATCACTCCTCAAACGTCCTCATTATTCATTTAGCCTCTCCCCTCCATTAGGCTACAAGCAGCCATCCAGCCCCCGCCAGCCCGCCTCGGTATCCATCCATCTATCAATACGCGTATCCATCAATGCCCTTCGCTGTCCCAACATCCTTCATCTCCTTTCCATTAGGTACCTTCTGGAGCCCCGGCGGCTTCCTCAAATGCTGCAAGGGCAGTGAGTCCGGCGGGTGTTCACGGCATAGCTGAACATGGAGAACACTGTTATTTTATAAGAGTTCATGTTCATTACAGTTTTCGTTCAGCCTGAAGCAGATCAGAGGTATCCGAAGGGACAGAAAGATTGCTTCACATAGGTTAAAGTTGAGGAAACTTCTTGTTGGACCTGTCAGCAGGCCGGGCCATGGAGTTCCCATTGATCGAGTTCAATTAACAAGGCTTTTTATCCACTTCGTCACGTCCAGCCGCCTGAGCCGTCGGGCACTGAACGTGTCTGCATGCTTACTGCTGAGATGGATGGATGAAAAAGCAGCTAAGCCGGGTGTTCACTCTGCCCACGAGACTATGAAACTTTAATAGGGTCTAATTTGCAAACCACCTCTTTATTAACTGTGCCGTGGCTCAGAGTGACAACTTCAAAAAGAGTCAAAGTTGGAAAATTTGATTAGATTTTTCCAACGAATGGTGGAAGTTGGCAGCAGCACAATGAGAAGGGTTGGATGTCTCTCGGGGCTGAGATAGAAATATGCTGCCATACATGTTTACTACAGCTACAGCAGCTCAGAGTTGCCAAACCTGTAGTATCAATCTATCTATCTATGTCTCAGAGGGATCTTGTAGATTTTAGCCCACTTTTAAAAGACTGCTGTATCCTTTGTGAAAGGACAATGAATATAAACGTTACCCTGCGCATTGTGTGATTTTAACTCGGGTGTTAAAGGGTCCGTTTAGACAAAGTATAAAAGCAGATTCCTCATTTCTGGGTTCATCAAGTAATGTTTGGAGATATCCGGGGTTTCTATCTCGGTGTGTACAGTGTGTACAGTGAAAAAATTTTCTTCTGACCAAAAGGTATTACTTTTAGTGTCACGTAACAAAGAACAGCATAAAAGCCCCTCAACATAGAAACAACCTGGATGAAATAAAAACTTAACTCTTTAAGGAAAAAAGCTCCTGCTATTCTTGACTAATGTAGGATGTCGGGTAGAACAATTTGTATTGGAACCAGCATCTGAAAACAAAATAAATCCCCCAATGGTATTGAGGTGGAGGCAGCGTCGGTTTACACGGGCAAACAGGGCTTGCTATATATGAGTTTTTTTGTCATTTGAATGAATCGACCCTTTAGGGATTAGATGATGATGTTTATTTGATGGGAAACCCAGATCTGACCAGCGTGTGCGTCATGTAGGCTAAAAAGAAAAATACACATCTGGCTTTCCAGTGTCCCTCATCTGCTCTGCAGCGCTGAGCGTGGACGCAACCTCCGTCTCCCAGCGGCCCCTTTGAGGCCGGCTACACACAGCATCGTTCCCAAACAGGTCTACACCCAAGCAACGTTTTAGTATCCAATTAAAGTATTTTCTTGGCACTAATTCATGGATAAAATGTTTGTTGTTTTGAAAACTCTTGGACTACACAACTGCAACTTCCTTTTTTTTTTTGTTTTCCTTGTGGGTTCAATTTCCGAGTCCAGTCTCTGGAAACGTCAGCGGATAAAACTGAGATATCTGGATGATAAACATTTCAACAACAGGAAACTTGGTCTAAATGGAAACAGACAAAAATAGAAGGAAAATGGACGGTGTCACCTGTTGCCTGATTTAATGTTTAATTAAACATCTCGACAAATGCATTGCAATACAAGAAATAGAAAGATTGTGGAGTGGTGGTAAGACCTGTGTGAGCTGTTCCACTGGACACCGATGGAGAGCGCTTGAAACTAGTTAGAAAGACTAAAAAGATGACCAATCGGCTAACATTGTTTAATTAATACAAGCCTCACTGTGTAAGGCAACGAGGCACAACCATTGTTTTCCCAGACATCTCTACTTGAAATAGCTAAAGGTAAAGAATAAACAGTTGGCTGAAACGGATGAATGCACAGTTGGGAATAATTATCTAGATGTACTGTATGAATGGTTGGGAATAGTTAGTTATAAGTAAAGGACAGACAGTTGGAAAGGTCAGCTAAAGTAATGGATAAACAGTTTGAACAGCTGGCTCAAACTGGTGGATACACATTTTACATAGCTAACAGAAACATCTGGAATAATAGTTTCTGATAATAGTCAGAAAATGACTTTTGAGAAGGTAGCAGAACATAAAGCATTGAAATGGGACCCCGCCAACACTGAGCGGAGAACTTTGTACTCTTTGCTTTCTGCTCTGAAACTGGGGACTGAAACCCGGGACGGTACTTTTTAAGATGATCCTAGCGTGACGTTAGAGGAGAAAAAGCAGATGTGAAATCATTTGCGACTCGTTGTTGTGCAGGTCAAGTCAATATTAGAGCGAGATAGCGTCGCTTTCATATACAAAGATTTTGCTAAAGATTTAGGTTTGGTTTTAGTCTCCCAACTCAAATGCTTACAATAGAGAGCTGTCAGATTAAACAGAGATGTAACTTGGTGCGGTCCTTTCATTTTTATTGCCATTTTCTGCACCGTTGTCAGGAATCAGGAGAGTGGCAAGTGTCATCCTGAAAGGAGTCTGTATTTATTTCGTGAGGCTTTATAAACAAAACAACAATGAATTGGGAAAATAATCATTATTGCAACCTAGCAATAGTCCTTACAATCATTCCTACATTCTTAATTTAGCATTCTGTTATATGGCCTTCATCAACGTTTCTTTACCCTAACGAACAGTAAAATACATCATAAATGCAGTGGTTAATTGAGGGCTGTTGCTTCAAGGCAGTGACCACATAATCAGTCAGGCCTGTTTCAATAAAGCGGAATTCAACCTCTAACTCCGGCGAACTGACACCCTAAACGCCTCACAAATCATCGCTGTAAGTGTCTCGAGAAAAAATGTGTCACCAACACAAAGTGCACCGCTTCACGGAATGAAGGTCATTTCCCCACCGACACCGGCCCAGCTTGTTTTGCATGCATTACAGCGTATGAACAAAGACGGCAAGGAGAGCGGCGCCCACACCTCGCTGCGGAAAGCACCTGTATCCGTTAACTGCGTATCTTTTACTCCGGGCGGATGAGAGAACACACTGTAATGTATGCCTAGTATTTTCACTACTGTGTCGCAACCCGAGCCTCCGTTCTGATTATCGACCGCTGCAGAATCGCTGGGGCTTTAATTAGTGCTAGTGTAACTAATTGGCTTGGATAAAAGTGACATTGATGGAAGGCAGGCGAAATGAATTAATGAGGATCGGCATCGGCACATTAAATGGAACCGCTAAACAGTAAATGTCTGGCTGTCTGCTCTGCCTGTGAAACTTGCATTCATGGAAGAAAAAATATATATAGAAAGTCTTCCCCTCGACCATTCATGGTGATCCGCATGTGGTGATTGTGGATGTGTGTGTGGGCATCCATATTGTGCATGCGCCTCCTGTGTACAAAGTTATTTATGTTTATGAGGCCCCCCCCTGTAGTGCACACTTCATCAGAGCCCACGTAACTAGATGTTCATTTAGTTGACAGGAGAAATCTCTCAAGCGCTGCCTATGCCTCCATGTAAAGTATGTTAACCTTTAAAACAAAGCCCACCCTGGCCCCTCTCATTCTCCTGTAATTGCTTGCGCTGGGTAAGCACACTCGCCTGAAAAGGTTATCGTGTTCCCTGCCGGTTGTCATGATGAATGAGCAAACATAGGGGGAAAATGAAAATTGGAAGTTAAGAAAATCTCCCTCACTCTAAGCCGACACAAAACAATGCTCTGCTTTGGTGTGGTCGCAAATGATTAAAAACCAAGCGCGCGAGTAAACAGAATGGCGAAGCAGGCGTTCAGTGAATTAACGCACTCCGGGGGACGGGGTGGATTCAAGACTTGCACTGCGGCCACGGTAACATTCATTATTTGGCACGTTGGCACGTTCTGTTTTTTCTTGCTCGTGTGTGCGTGTTTGTCATCTTTGAAGTTCACAATGATGCCGTATGTCTTTAGTGTGGCTATAATTACGTGTGATGGCCAAATGCATCCTTCGCGTGAGTTCTACACGCACGAGAGCGGCGTCGCGTACAGCGCCTTCGCTGTTTGAACCATCAAGTCCTATCGTTCGATTTCGTGTTAGTGGGTCTGTGAACCAACCCCCAAAAAATTCATTGTGTTTGCATTGCAGTATTTGGTGTGCATATGATTATGCGCAATGCACAGTCAATTTTGTGCTTGTGCAAACAGATTGTTTTCCCTGGCGAGTTCGAGCATCAGCGTGTGTGCTTATGAGGTCGCCTTAGTGCTTCCCTTGATGCACAACTCCCCGCGGGGAACAGATGCAATCATTCGCGTCACATTTCGCATGCTTTGATGCTAGTTTGCGTGTATGCATGTTTCCTCGCATGGCCTGCATTCATGTCTGTGGTAGAGGATCAGGCGGCCTGTGTGGTCTCAACCAGACAGGCAGCAGGCAGCTTTGATAAGCCGAGGCCGGAAGGTGAATGGCGGGTGAAGGCTGCTATCGCCATGGGCTGGCTCGTGCTTGGCGCCGCCGCCTGCTGGACCCTGAAAACTCATTTTTGACAGATGCATCTCCTCCCCAGCTCGTCGACGCGCGGTCGGGGGCTGATGACACTTGCTTGCCCGAGCGGCTCGGTGTAGCCGTTAGCCGCCATCACGTTGAGCAAACCTGCAATTCATACTTGTGCCCCAGGCATTATGCTGAATAATGACACGCAAGAAACACCGCCGTCTCCCCGTGCCCAGCAGCAGACGACCAGCTCATAGTTTCAGTTACGACTTTTTACAGTCGGAACTGATGCATTGCTGTGCTGAGCTAAATGCTGTTATTTTCTCTCATTGTGAGGTTTTCAGATGTTAATTGTGTGTTCTGTGCGATTGATTTACTTTGTATTCTGTTATAATGTATTTCCACAACTAGGCACACATGAATGCACCTTCTTTCAGCCGTGCCAATGAACTGTACGCTCAGTAATATTTACAGCAGCAATCTTTACTGCCAGCGACCTGCTTCCAAAAGTGTTTCCTGAATCACACATTTCTTTCCTGAGAAAGCCACATCCCCAGAGCCTGCTTTTTTTTCTGTCCCTGTCCAATGAAAAATGCTGCAAAAGCTGTCTCATTGATTGATTTGTCCTTTTCAAAATGTTAAGTCAGCTTACAGAAGTGCCATTTACCACCGTGGGCTCCACATCCGCAGAAAGCGCTAATTGGGGCCTTTGCATCTGGAAGGAGTAATTTAGAAATAGAGTGTGTGTCAAAACAAACCATGAATAAAATGATTAAGAAATATGCTCGGTTCTTCCCACAAGTAGAACGAAAAATACATCCGCAACTGACAATTGACAGGAAGTGATTTTTAGACCAGTTTTCTCATGTATCTTTTTTCTTGTTTCAGCTTGGAGACAGTAAACACAGAAGAGGTGACCCTCATCGTATCCTGAAGGAGTCTTTGTCTACAGTGCCAAGGCGGAGCCAGGAAGAAGCCTCCATGGCCAGAGACTCATCGCCTTCTTAGCTCCACCAGGAGCCCCTTCAACCCTCTGGCGAGCTGCACTGGGGGGCTCAAACGTTCCTCTGACTCCACCCGGGGCCTCACTGCAACCCATCTGCCAGCTCAGATAACCCTCTGACTGTTGGCCACCACATGTTTGAGGCGACCGCGTGTAACCGCCGCCCATTTCCCAGCAGCAGCCGCGGCTTCCTGCGACACAGATCTGCACCATGCAGTGGAGACGCCGCCACTGCGGTCCCATCAAGATGACCTGGACCGTCAAGCGCTCGCTCTTCCGGACCCACGTGGCCGGCCTCCTCTCGCTGGCTCTGCTCTTCACCCTCTTCTTATTTTTCAGCCAGCAAGACTGGCGCAGCGGACCCCGGGAAAACCCGCTGGCCTACACCGTCAGGGGCCTCCGCAGCCCCAAGGGAGAAGCCAACCAGAGCAGCTCCCTCAGGAGCCTGTGGAGGGAGACGGGCTACGTGGCCCCGAAACCTCCGCTCAACCTCAGCTCTCAGCAGGCGGACGGGGCAGCGGGGGAGACAGCAGGAGGTGGAGGAGGGGCAGCAGGAGCCAGAATGGGCGTAATGGGGCTCGGGGACTCCATGAGCGCTAACAACAGTTTACAGAAGGAGATGGGTGTGGGGGGGAGGCTCAGCGCTCAGCCCTACCGCTACATCCTGAACGAGCCTTCAAAGTGCAGGGACAGCGTGCCCTTCCTCGTCCTCCTCATCGCTGCCGAACCGGGGCAGGCCGACGCCCGCAACGCCATCCGCCAGACGTGGGGCAACGAGAGCATAGCAATGGGCCTGGGGTTCGTCCGTCTTTTCCTGCTCGGCACAGGGAAGAGCTCAGACACCTACCTCCAGAGCAGCATAGAGGACGAGAGCCGCGTTCACCACGACATCATCCAGCAGGACTATCAGGACACTTACTACAACCTGACCATTAAAACCCTGATGGGCATGAACTGGGTGGCCACCCATTGCCCACGCGCCTCCTATGTGATGAAGACAGACAGCGACATGTTTGTCAACACAGAGTACCTCGTCCAAAAGCTGCTGAAGCCCGAGCTGCCTCCCAGGCAGAGGTACTTCACCGGCTACCTGATGAGGGGCTACGCGCCCAACCGAAACAAGGACAGCAAGTGGTACATGCCGCCCGAGCTGTACCCGAGCGAGCGCTACCCCATATTCTGCTCCGGCACGGGGTACGTGTTCTCGGGGGACATGGCCGAGCTGATCTACCAGGCCTCGCTCAGCATACGCAGGCTGCACCTGGAGGACGTTTACGTGGGGATCTGCCTGGCGAAGCTGCGCGTGGACCCGGCGCCGCCCCCCAACGAGTTCCTCTTCAACCACTGGCGGGTGTCTTACTCCGGTTGCAAGTACAGCCACCTGATCACATCGCATCAGTTCCAGCCCAACGAACTCATCAAGTACTGGAACCACTTGCAGAGCAACAAGCACAACGCCTGCATCAACGGGGCCAAGGAAAAGAACGGCAGGTACAGACACCGGAAGTTTCACGGGGAGAGGCCTCCTTGATGCCACCTGTGACGACCACCCGCCTCGAAAGAAGGGAGGCGGGCGCACTGTAACTACAGCCGAAGGAGGGCATATTGAACTCAGCACTATACACTATATGGGGGAAAGCACATTGATTTTGGTATTGGGTACAGTTGATCCGAACTATTTTTTTAAGTTGAGAAAAAAAAAAAAGTTGAGTATTGTAAACTTGTTAAGCTGTTTCTAAGAGGTTGGGGAAGAGGTTTGCCATGTAGAGCTCGCACAAAAAAGTGCTGCTGCTCAAGCGTTTATGATACTTCAGGTGACAACAGAAAAGTTTCAATACATGTTACAGTTATTGTGAGGGCTCTTCCTGGGAGGGTAGTACGCTATGTCGCACTCTTCAAATCGAAAGGAAAAAAAATGAAGACACAATTGTGTTTACACAAAGGGAAATGCACATGTATTTTGTTGACATCTACACTACCTAAATATGAATGATCTTTGACGTTGATCAGTTATGCTGCCCTGTTTCTCGGTGTTTGCTTTACAGATTTATTAAAGAATACACACTAAAGAAAAGGTTTATCCGTCATATACTGTGTTTTGTTCTTAAAAAAATTACATGAAAACACTCATGACACGTCAGATATGACTGAGATTGTATTTTTTAAAGCTTTACATTACGAGTGTTACTGCACCTGAACAAATGTGCAACAAATTAATTAACAATTAAATGTACTGAACTCATTTTGTTTGCAGTTGTGTGTGATTCATCCGGGGCTCTGTAATGCAATCAAGCAGCTTAAGTGTAATTACTGACTGTCCGAGACGTATGCAGCAAATATGGGGCATTTGGCAACATGAAAAAGTCCCTTTGTACATGATGGGACCTTTTTGTTATTTGGTGATTCACTAGTGAGAAACTACAGACTAGATCCTTTGTTTGGGGGAGAATGTGATACAACGAATTCCTCCTTCACGTTACTTATTAACAGAGCTCGGACTTCACTGCTCACCTCTCTTTCAGTTTTAGTAGCACTTTTATGGCCACCATTGTTACTGCATGATCTAAAAACATAATTCTGAATAACGCAGCCCAAACATGTATTTTTTCCTTCAAACACTGATCACTAATAGAGGCTGTGGTCTATTCAGTGGCCCTCAGAGAAATGCATTGACTTTCAAATACAAAAGTGAAACATTTAGATAATCCCAGGTTGGGTAGAAGCAATGTGAAGACAATCAGGCTGAGCGATGAGAAATGAATTATACATCGAATCCTTCACTGTCCTCTGAGAACATTAAAAATCCGGCTGCAAATCACCCAAGTTTAGATTTTAATTAAAAATGAATGCATATGATTTTGAAAGGCTGCCAGTATTACTCCAGATGGAACTGCCTGTTTGTGTGTGTGTGTGTGTGTGTGTGTGTGTGTGTGTGTGTGTGTGTGTGTGTGTGTTGTGGGGGAGGGAGGGAGGCAATAAACAAATACACGCAAGAGTGCTCAGGGCGAACAAGAAAGAGCACATTAAATTGGGTAATGACTTGAAATAACCTTCATCAGATTAAGGCAGTATGGATAAACTAATAGAAAGCCAGGACACCTGAACGTCCGTATATTTTAATCACCTACATGTGTGAGCATTTCTACTAAGGGAGCCCTAAAATGGGTAAAGTTTCCACAATGGTATATTTAAAGCCGCTAATCACTAAGCAGAAGGGCCAGAAAAAGCTGAAAGGTAAACGCAGCAGAGAGAGGGAATATCAAGATGTTAATCTCAGATAAACCGCACGGTGCAAATAATTATTCAACGTTGGAGCCACGAGCACAGAAACAACAGCTTTATGTGTACTGTAAACAGTGGTGAGAGAGATTACACCATGTTTCCAAGGTCAGTTCAACAGGTATCTACAGGGAGACAAGATATTATAATGTCTCCAAACAGAGGTGCAAGATGCGAGCCAACAGATATGATATGACATGTTATTGTTTCTAAACACCACTTTTAACATTGCGCCAACTGATTACAGTAACTGGGTCGGTAAAGATTTAAAACCATTTTTTAAAATAGTTTTGTATGTATTAATTGATGAAATATATAAAAATAATTGTGTCAGATTTTCACCTTTTTAAAATTATAGAAAAAATATTTTCCAGATTATTTCCCATATACTGTACGCGTATGTAATCGTAATGTAAACTGCTGCTTTAATTCAACTTTCTATATCAGCCTGTTAGTTAAAATATCTCTAAAATCTCAGGTGTATTGTATTTAACGCCTTACAAAGTCACTTTACTCTTCATTCATGGTATTTTTTAATTTGGCAGAAACTGAGATTTTGTTTAAAAACAATGAAAACCTGTATGTTGATAATAAGACAACAAATGGCAAGACTGCCAACAACTAAACTATTGATGAAGTATGAAATTATCATCGGAATCCTTGCACCTGAAAACGAATAGAATTTAATTCCCTTGAACATGAAATGCAATGACCAAGATAACTGAACGCTTTTGTGCCTCCTGCTGCTTCACTAACGTGACTCTGGTATCGACTGAAAGGTTGCAGTGTGTCCATCGTATGAGATGTCCACGTTTCAATAACAATGCCCTGCAAGTTCCAGATAAAACCAAACATTGTGGTCACCACAAAGGAAACCAAGGAGATCCCCTTTCCTGCTTAAAGACCCTTTCCATTCCAGCAGGAATCGTCCGAGGTATTCATCACCCACCATTAGTGATGATTAAAGCCATGACTCAAACCTTGGGAACAAGGTTTTGGTATCATTCATGCACGTCCATATGCAATCAGAGCCCCAGATTACCGGCATCCGGCCGCACTCAGCCCCTCAGCAAATGATGAAAACGAGAGAGGTCCGGGGGAAACAGGTGAGATGAAAAAACTGCAGAGCAGAGACGAATACACTGCTCCGCTACCGGAGAAGTCCAAGTAAAAGAGAAAAGGATGAGGAGGAAAGGGAAAAAAAAAAAAAAAAGCTTGAAGGAGAGAGTGATGAATGAAGGGGAAAGGAGCAGTGACTGATCACTATTGAAAACCTGTGCTGCTGTAAACGTGGTATAAAAGCCTAACAGTGGAAAAAGATTGAGATGTCTGTCGTGATGGAGTGGAGGCTGTGGCCCCGGCTCCAACATCGCAGCTCGCTGTTCCTCAGAAACAGAAAAGGAGAAAAAATGCACTTGAGGAAGAGACAAATCTCCTGACCTTTGAATAAGAGCCGGGCCTGGAGCCTGCCCGAAGGGACTCCCTCTCCGTGGGCATGACTGATGAAGCCCTAACGCAAGTTCTGAAAAACAACTGAATTTGACAAAGAAAATGATGAATGCCACCTGCTGCAACTGCAAGTTAAAAGTCTTTACAAGAAAAAAAGATAAGAATTGTAAGATTCACAAATTAAAAATCGAGCAACTATATTTGGAATAGACTACTTAATAAAACGCCATTTAAAGCCCCTGCAACCCAAATGGAGAACCACAGACCACAGTAGCTCGTCCCTTTTCTCAGCAGCCATCCAGACACATTTCAGGAGAACCGCAGCCATAATTAACGACTTTAATTATGGCCCAAGGTGGGCCAGGCCCCTGGTATCGTGCATACTGGCTCACCGGAATTACTGAGAGAATACGGGAATTGCATCATAATCAATTGTCTTGATTACGCCTGGATTTACCCTGCAATGACAGGTCAAAATGGCTGCTTTGAGTAGTCTCTGTTGTACAGAGAGCTTAAGCTATTGCCGTAGCCGTGGCTAACCTTGACTAAAGCTAAATTCACTGAAAATGTTGACAAACACACAACGTGGCGATTGTGTTCATTTCCATATCTACTCAGCAGCCAAATCCTATTATTGCGGAAATGAAATGACTTACTATTTGCTAAATGGATACAATAACATAGTATGCCACAGTTAAAGCAACTACCATAAAGCCTTTAGTAGAAAAAAATATTCTTTAGGAAAGCTACCGTAAAAATTCATCATCAAACCAATTAAATTAGCTGAAGTTGCAATATTAAGGAGCATACTTATCCACTTCTGCCATATCTAACTCAATGTTAGCCTCCAATTGTGTGATTGAAATCACACACTAAATTGAATAGGAATTCATCTAAAATCAATAAACTATGAAATTGTAGACAGTTACAGAACTACTGCCGTCTCAAGAAGAAGAAGGCAACATCCATTGTGTGCTCTCATCCAAGCAAGAACTCCCTCGTGCTTACAGACAGATGGTGGATTCCAGCCGGGACTCATTGATGGGCGGCTGCCAGCATTGAGCCCAAATCTATTAATATATACAATTTGACAGTGACACTCCACATCACAGGAGGAATGCTGGGCATCTAACATGCTGTGTGTCACAGTAACACTGCAAAGAACACTGTTATACTTATATACTGAATTGTCAATCATGAAAACAAAAGCCCAATGTTCAGTAAAAGCGTTCGCCTTTAAATGTGTGTTTAAATGTGTTTATAATATCGTATTCAGAAGGTTTTTCCTCAAAAGCATTAACATTAGGACAATAAGTGTTATATATAATGATGCAGCACATAGATATATTCAAATGTATATATTGTACTTAATTATTCAGTATATCTACTTTGTTTAAAACAAGAAACTGAATAAAATTGCACTCCTAATTAATCACATCAATAACAATGTATTATATCTACGTTAGTCTATTACCAACATACAGTTGAATGTATTTAACTTATGTAGAAGTACAACAGTGTTGTGGTTAACTTGATTCCTGCATCTCATCGTTTGCTTTGCATGAGCACATGGAAATAAGTTTCCTTTGTAGATCTTTTCAAACTAAGCAACAATTTAAAGAGCTTTAAATAGAGAAAACGTTTTTACGAAGGATTCAAAAACAAGAAGTATTAAAATTGTTTAGAAATACAAGAGGGACTAATATATACACAGAACATACAGCAACAAAGGAACTAAAAGGGCTGTAGAGGAACTAGTCAATAAAACCGAACATTATCATTTGTGATGTTTGTAGTATTTGAACCTGCTCTCTGTTGATCATTTACCTGCTGACATCCAGTCAGGAGACAAAGGAAACCTTAAACTAGTTTGTGGTAAGAATCGGGGTTCCACTTGCTGAATGTTGCTCAACACGATGTTTTGAGTATTTTGAGAAATTAAATGCTGAGGATGTTTCCTCAGCATTGACCGTTTGACGTACTTTGAAGTAAGAATCTACGTAGTGCAAAACAAACAGTGATCCTCTCTCATGTGATATTGTTTTACACATGATATTTGTTTGTTGCCTTTGTTGTTGATGCTGTCTGGTCAAACTTAATGTGATCATAAATGTTTCCTCACGTCAGTCACAGAAGTGTCAAGTCATCACAAAGTATGGTTTTTATGTTAATATAAATGTAAACACGGTGGCGTGGTGGTTAGCACTGTCGCCTCACAGCAGGAAGGTCCTGGGTTCAACTCTGCACAGTGTCTGTCGCCCGAAGTTGGCTGGGATAGACTCCATCCCCCCGCGACCCTGTGTGCAGGATAAGTGGTTTGCAGAGAGATGAATGGCTGCTGAAGATGTGCATTATTAGATGTTGATTACATTAACGTTTGTTATTAAGGAATTAAACTTTACACCTACAACAACAAATACACAGGCGCCGATGCTCCTTTAAGGACTCATGAACTGTTTTAAGGACAATGCAGCAAACAACCCTGAACGTAATTGAAAAGGCTACCAAAGAGTT